TAAAAAGCACTAATAATTGAGAAAAGCAACTTTTAAACTTTAATTTTCTTGGTTATTCAGATTCTCTTAGTTTGTTGTCTTTTATTTTTGCATTTTTGTTAAAGGTGGGAACAGAGAAAAGATCCTCACGGTAGAACCTATTATGTGGATCATAACACTCGCACAACCACATGGGAGAGACCACAACCTTTACCTCCAGGGTAACGTAGCTGATTTATGTGTCTTTAGTTGTGTTTTTTCATATATGTGACTTAAAAATTGTTTTCAATACAACATAAAATAACTTTTTCATTCTGCATATTACGTTTCCTTGGTTTGCTTTTGTGAATAATAAATGTTCAGTAATTAAGATTTGTTATATTGTATCTATTTCACAGTTTGAAGGGCTTCCTCAAGACTGTCAAACATTGATATGAGTTACTGAGAGTAGTTGCAGAATTACGATCCACTTTCAGTTCTTGTTATCTTAAGAAATGAGAGGCATATTTAGGACAGTTTATGTGTCTGGTTCTCCATAGATAGTGATCTAAAACTGATTACATAAGATTTAATGATAAGAGATGTTAGAGTGGTTCAAAATTATGATCTGAAAGATTGCTCCAAGTAAAATTGTTTGCATTATGGCTAAAATTATAGAGGGTTTTAAACGAATGAAGTCATTTCTGTTACATCCTAAATAAAGTTCATGCTCCGAGGCTATCATTCAAGGCCATTCACAAACTAATCTTCCTTTTTCCTTTTTGTTTTTACCTCTCATAACTATACATACTACACTGATAGCTAGTTGAATTATGTACTATTTATTTTCTCCTTGAACACTCTGCCTGTACCTGGAATTTTCTCCTTATTGTCTTTGCCACTCAGAATATCCTTCCCTGTGCACCTTACTTACAGTGCACCCATATAAAACACATTCAAGGCCTAGAAAATCTAAGGCAAGACTTAGGGGTTTTTTCATGATTCCTTGCTGAAAAGGTTCTGAAATGGTTGTATAAATTAATGACACAAGTTGGTTTAAGGTGAGCTGCCCCCTAGAGGCTGGGAAGAAGGGCATTCTGTTCCAAGGGACATGAAAACGCATGAAAGTGAGACATCTGACAGTTGGGACCAGCAAGGAGTGGCTTGGCTCTTCTGTGGGTCCCTTGAAAGATCTTGGGGAAGTTGAAGCTGAAATGCTGAATGAGCTCATTTTTAAGCCATGCCACACAGAACTATGATGGGTGGAATGACAGTTGCACTGCAGTTTGTCAGTTGTGTAACAGTAGGAAGGTAAGTTAAAAAAAATAACTATCAGAGTTGAGTTAAATCCTGAATGTGGGCAGTGGCAGTAGCAGCAGATTGCCGGGTATACAGTAAGTACTCAGTAAATGCTTATCCAAAAAAAAAGAGGAAGAATGGGTAGTCAGATCGATACTGAATGTATAACCTCTTTTTTAGACCATTCTTAGAAAGCATGTAGTGGTAGAGTGGGAAGGTAATTTAAAATAAATAGTTATGTTTTCACAATTTTTCTGAGGAGTACTAATATTTCCATTATTTTATCATGTCTTAGACTTGATTTTTAAATTATTTGAGTGAAGTGTTAATTACTTTGAATGAGCTCATTTTTAAGCCATGCCACACAGAACTATGATGGGTGGAATGACAGTTGCACTGCAGTTTGTCAGTTGTGTAACAGTAGGAAGGTAAGTTAAAAAAAATAACTATCAGAGTTGAGTTAAATCCTGAATGTGGGCAGTGGCAGTAGCAGCAGATTGCCGGGTATACAGTAAGTACTCAGTAAATGCTTATCCAAAAAAAAAAGAGGAAGAATGGGTAGTCAGATCGATACTGAATGTATAACCTCTTTTTTAGACCATTCTTAGAAAGCATGTAGTGGTAGAGTGGGAAGGTAATTTAAAATAAATAGTTATGTTTTCACAATTTTTCTGAGGAGTACTAATATTTCCATTATTTTATCATGTCTTAGACTTGATTTTTAAATTATTTGAGTGAAGTGTTAATTACTTCCCAATTTCTTATATTGAGATTATTGTTCAATTTTTATTATTGTTCCATTTGTGGAAGTTGGGAAAGAAGAGTTGATGATCGTGGAAGAGTTTACTATGTGGATCATAACACCAGAACTACAACCTGGCAGCGGCCCACCATGGAATCTGTCCGGAATTTTGAACAGTGGCAGTCACAGCGGAACCAATTGCAAGGAGCCATGCAACAGTTCAACCAGCGATACCTCTACTCGGTAATTAGCAAATGAACAGCTGTTAATACAACTTATCCTCTAAGTGTTTTCCCTTTTCTACTTTAGTGGTTTTTTTTTTTAATGTTATAGACTGCATTATAAGGTATTTTTTTTTGTTGATCTTTAAAAAATACTTAGGATTTCTGATATATCTGAGCACTTCAAATTTTTTTTAAAATTCCAGTTTATTGACATTACATACACTCAGTTTTTATCCTTATTAAGTGGTAGTTTCATAAATGCAATTTAGTAATGAAATAATTTGTCTTTACCAATTCCCAAGCCTCCACTTTTAATTATAGTCATTTTGTTTGCCTTAAACCAAACCAGTTGTCTCCTTGTTTGATTAAGACAAGCCTTGCCGTATTCTAGCTGTTCTGATGCCCATCCCAGGTTCTCAGAAACAACACTTGTCATCTGTTCTGCCAGCAAAGATATTCTTGGGATTGGAGATAATTTTGTCCAAAAAATCCAATGCTATCTAAAAATTTGACCAATTGATGATTTATTATTGCCATAAGCAAAGAGGCACAAGAAGAGTGCAAAAAAGAAAAAAAAAACTTTGTTAAATGGATTTGATTATAGGAAGCAGAAAACAGGAATTTTAATTACAGGGCATCTCTAAATAGATAGTGTTAGAACTTGAAAACCCAAATGTAGAAGCTAGTAGATAGAAAGAAATTAGGAAAGATACAAAAAGAAAACTTAAATAATTTTTCATAATCCTACTTCAGTCTGGTTCTTTTGATTCCAATTTCTTCAGAGGTTAAATGATAACCTCACTTCAGCATGACCCTGGGTATCTGTAGCCAGCAGAGGGAGTGGCCAGCCCAACTTGCATAGCATCTCCTGCTGCCCCCAATTGCTGATTCTTGGGAAACGTGTACAGAAATCTGTAGTAAGTTACCATTGTTTAGCTGTACATACTAAATAAGAAAGTAAGTACTCTGTGTGCATGTTTCTGGTTGGCTGTGGCTGTGTACATGAAAACCTTGGGAAGCGGCGGAATGAGGTCATAGGTGTGTCTCCACAGTGTGTTCTGCACCTGGCAGAACATCCTTGAACTGCCTGAGGTTTAGTTACAGGTGTGGAGTGAGAGTCTAGTGCTGGTACTGCCTTGGTTCAGTGGTGCTGCCACGCACTCAGGTTCTTCCTCCTTGTGCTCCCCCATCCTTAATCAGGCTTCTGTACTTGATCGTAAGAGCTGTTTCTGGGCCTCATTCCACATTATAGGCAAGAAGAAAGGGCAGTGGGAGGTGGAGGTGACTTTTTTTCAGGGATTTTCTCCCCAGTGACTTCAGCCTAGACCTCCTTGGCCAGAATAGGTCGTTCTACCAACCCAGCTGTAAGGAAGATTGGGAATAGAGTATTCTTTTTT